AAACAAGCAGAAAATAAACCTTGAAGTTAAAAAAAAAAGCAAAAAGTTAAAAGGCAATACCAAAATCAAGATTGAAAGCCTTTCTGTGTAAAAAAAAAAAAAAATACTGCCAGCATGTGCATGATTCTAGATGTTATTTCACATCTCCTAAACTTTGAAAGGAAGATTGGTTTGAGCATGTTAGTCATCTTAGGGTTTCTTCAGAAAAGTGAATCCGGGCCTCCCCTGGTGGCACAGCGGTTGACGCTGGACTGTGGGGCTGCCCGCAGCCTCTGCCGCGCCGGTTCAATGCCCGGCTCCTGGCGAGGGTCCCACATGGCACGACAGACCTCTCCTGCCGCACCCGCTGCTCCCCTCAGCAGTTTATTTCGTCAATCTGCCTGTTCTGTTCCCTGCTCTGGCTCTGGTGAATTCTCTCACCCTCCCGCACTTCTGACTGTACGCAGTGCTTGTATAAATAAAGAAATCTTAAAAAAAAAATTCAGAAAAGTGAATCTTTGGACATCCTGCAACAATAACTGGAAAAGAAGTCAGTAACATTCAAGTTTTTGTCTTTTTCTTAAATATACATCTCAAGTCCTCAATGGGTTCACAAGACCAGTGGGACTTCGTCTCTGGGTCAGTTCCTTCTGGTGCTTGCTTAACTCTGGAATGATGTACCCAGGGTTTTATGCCTGCAAGTTTCAAAGAAGTATGTATGCTCAGCAAAATGTCATGTGGACCAGTGCATTTTTCTGACAGCTGGTTTTTGGCATGCCCACTCTGCCAAGTCTTGAGTAAGACCTGCTGCTCTCCAGGTCGGAAGGGATACAATGGTTGATCAGGAGGCATAGAGATCCTTGAGGTTGCAAAGTTGTGCCAGAACCTCCTGGCTATGTTTCGCATATTGTATGATCCGGCAATCTTGTGCTATTTCTGGACCGCCTTTCCAAACTGAGGCCTGGAAAGGTCTTCCAAACACAGTTTCAAAGGGGTTTAATTGTAGCCCACTTCTAGGTGCTACTCTTATCTGGAGGAGGGCAAGGGATAGTACTTGGTCCCAACGAAGGTGTGTTTCTTGGCACAGTTTTGCCAAGGTTTTCTTTAAGGTGTGGTTCATTTTTTCCAGAAGACTGTGGTCTCCATGCAGCATGGAATTTCCAGCTGATCTGTAACACATTGCTTACTGCATGAGTAAAGTCAGAGATGAATGTTGGCCCATTATCACTCTGGATGGAGCTGGGCAACCCAAAGCGAGGGATTATCTCCTTCAGCAGCTCTTTTGCCACCTTGGAAGCTTTCTTCGTCTTTGTGGGAGAAGCTTCCACCCATCCGGAGAACGTGTCCACAAAATCCAGTAGGTATTTGAAACTGCCTGTTTTTCTAAGTATTTGTGTAAAGTCCACCTGCCAGTCCTCAAAAGGGCACTTGCCCCGATATTGAACCTGAATGGCTTTAGGGTGGGAGTCAGTCTTGGGGTTATTCCTGGCACATAGTTGACAGCCCCAGGTGTGCTACTTTATGTAAATATGGGTCCTTCAAATATGGGCGCACTGTTTCTAATAAGGCATCTCTCCCATAGTGAGATCCCTCGTGAAGATGTTTTAGCACCGGATATACCAGGGCCTCAGGGAGGAGTATCATCCCATGGGAGTTTACTCTCCAAGTGGAGCTGGGGTCAAACTCAGTGAATCCCCATGCACAAGCTCTCTCCTCATCCCGCTCAGTGTAGTCAGGAGCATACTGAGTCAGGTCCACAAGAGGGATGAGTGCACTCTGAGGAAAGGGGAAATGAGGGAATGTACAACTCAGGGAGAAAATAGGGAGATAAAGTATTAAATGCGTCCTACCCGTTCCGCCGACCTGGAAACCCAATGGTACTCTGAGATCTGGCCGCGAGCCAAGAGCCGTGAAGCCAAGAAGGGGGCCCCCAAGACCCATGTGTCTGGTTTTATATCAAACCTGGCTGCTTAACTCCACCCTCAGGTCCCAGCAACCCTCTTTTGGTGGTGATGGAATTTGTCTTTCCCAGTGTCCTGATGGCTTTGGTCTGGAGTGGGGGTGGAGTCCACAAAGCCTGTATGGAATTAGCTCAGGACATCCTTTCCCCCTAACACTTTGATGGGCACATGTTTTAATATTTGGTAATTAAGCATATGGCTTTGACAGGGAATTAGCAATAAAACATAAATCAACCCTATTCACCCCTTTTGCTGCTTTTGATTTCACCATAACTTAGAATTTAATTGTCAGAAATTCTCTCTTAAGAAATTGTAGAATTGCTTCCGTGTTTAGCCTTTGGGGATTTGGGGTTCCCTTTTTGGTAATTTTCTTGACACATTGATATAAGAGTGTTAAGACATAACATGCATGCTTTGAATTGTTTCTGTCACCAGAGACTTCCGAATTTAACAGTTGCAGACAGGTGAAGACCAGAAAGAGGGAATGTAAATCACATATAGGAAAGTATCCACTATGGTAGGAAAACAGAAACCAAATGGTATCTGGTGGGGTAGCGTTAAATAAGGTTAAAATTAAACCCCACCCACTGCCCAGCAGGAAGGTTTGGGAGGCTTGAACACAGAGAGAACTGATAAGGCTGCTCTGGGTCCCAAACCGTAAGATGGATCCCTTTGACCAGGAATGTGGAGGCAAGGCCAGGACACATTATGGGTCAAAGATCAACCCCCCAAGATCAGACACCCCTGCACTAACCAGCCCAAAACTTACTCCCCAAAGCAAAACTGACAAAACCAGTTATAAAAGGGATCCCCAAATCTTTCTTCACTTGCAGATCTTTCCTGTCTCCCCAGCTGCTTCTCTTAGAAGTGTATTTGAATAAATGTGCCTTTTCTGTTCTCCAGTCTGCCTCTGGTGAAATTTTTCACCCTGCACCTCTGGCCTGTCAAAGTATAAGAATTTGAAAACCAAGCCCCCACTCCTTACACAGCAGGCAAGTATGGGAGGCTGGAATGATAAAGGGAGTGGATGGAACTGCCATGGAAACATGGACCTTAAGCTGGTGAATACCAGAATTGATGACCCTCTATGCAGATTCAGATCATCAGTCAGGACACACCCAAGACTAGTCACCCTAACCAGTCAATGGTGTCTAGAGTATAAATAGAGACTTGGGACCCAGACTCTGAACAGTACACCCCTCCTATTTCTCCCTCTGCTTCTTTTAGCAGTGTATTTCAATAAATTCACCTGGTCTGTTCTCATCTGTCTCTGGTGAATTCTTTCACCCCTGCAACAGGGCTTCCACCTTGATTCTTCTCCACAACATTATATATCAATAAATCTTTGTCAGATAGAGTGGTGTGATTTCGTATAAAAGAAGATGGAATCTAACCTCTTCAACTACACCAATCTTCTATCTACCCAAACCTCTACTCTTTGTTCTCTGAATTCAGCAAATAAAAATAAAACTTAAAAAAAATAAAAAGCAAATAGTAATTACATCTACCAAGTTGCTCAGGATAGAAAGTTTGGCAGCATCTTTAATTTCTGAGTTTCTCTCACTTTCTATACTAATCCAAATCAGCCCTATTAGCTAAAATCCTAAGCAAAGTACCACTCTGACCCACTCCTCTCTTTGTCTACTGCAAGTTTCTCGGTTTTTTCCCTGTTGCATTCTTGTTCTCCTACAATCTAGTTTCCCCAATGCAAAGAGATTTTTCTCAAACACAAATTATTCAATTCACTCCACTCGCCAACACCTCTCTCCATTTTCACAATTAGCGTGAAGTTCTGAGTGACTAGTTTCTGTGAATATCTTTGACCTTATCTGAGAATTCTTTCTTCTTTGTCCACATGAAACACTGACCTCCTTTTTCTTACTGCAGGGTGATTCAGTCCTTTCTGCCTCTCTGTGCTCCCCTCTGCAATTGTGCTTTCTCCCAAACTTTGCTGTATGCATCCTGGTCTGTCAATAGAGTTCATATTGTCATTTATTGAAGTCTTATAATTTCCATTAAAGAATAATGTTTTCATAGCTTTACAGATACATACATTTTATTAAAAATATCCTGAAGGGTTTCATATTTTGATGTTATCCTAAATGGCATTGAAAATTCAATTGGTTTGTTTCGATCCTTTGTACAGATCCTATAACCATTTGTTATTTCTTTGTTGGATTATTTTAAAAGTTATTTATATTGCTTTTTTTCCCCTGTCACTGAGAAGTCAGTTTTATCACAACATTCTCTCTATATCTTGATCACTAGAACACTATCAATTCTACAAAAGTACAGTGTAGTTTCTCAATTATTAGTCATTGTTTCTTTTGAGTGAATATCATATATAGGTAACCTTGGAAAAAATGATTAACCTCTCTTCTCAAAATCTCCTTCCTCATGTATTTATTAATGTATTTGTAAGTGCACATATTGATATATGTAATAATTATAGAATTAAAACAATGATACTTGTACTTCCTGATATTGATCACTATTAAATCAATTTTGGCAAAAGTGTTAAAAGCAACCTAAAAAACGAAGTATTCTGAATTACCTAACATTTTTGTTTAGTTTCTAAGCACATTGGTATTGTTATGACCTATTGTATTTGTAGTTTGTTCCTTCTCAAAGGAACTATTGTGTATATAGTATTATTATTTAATGTTATTTTTCTACTAAACTAGTCTCCATGACACAATTATAGCCCCCCAAAGAAGGACATGCTGAAAAAGAAATCTGAAATTACCTCTTGAAAATTTTAGAATTAAAACCTTACTAGTTCACTCCAACAGTAGTAACTGTGCCTTTTTTTATTTTTTTAAAGATTTATTTTATTTATTTATGCAAGTACCGGGGTACAGGCCAGATGCGCGGGAGGGTGAGAGGATTCCCCAGAGACAGAGCCGGGAACAGAATAGGCAGACTGACTGAAATCCTCTGCTGAGGGGAGCAGCGGGCGCTCCAGGAGGGGTCTGCGCGCCACGTGGGCCCCTCGCAGGCGCAGCAGAGGCTGTGGACAGCTCCCCAGCGCGCGCCCAACCGCCTGCGCCCCCCGTTTGCTGTTCTCCCCACAGTGTGAGCGCGACAGTAAAGCATCTGCACAAGGCGGGGCCAGGATGGGGACGCCTGGAAAAGCCAAAACCCAGGCCGGGATTGCTCAGGACAGATGAAAGGGCCTCTCGGGCATTCCAAGGGTTGTCGTTAAGCGGCAGCTTTTTCGTTAAGGCTGAGAAACCGCTGGGGGTTCCCTCTGCCAATGGCTGTGGCCTCTGGCTCTGACGCCACAAAGAGCCCTTGTGACGGCACCGGCACCGCCTGCATCAGGCCCGCCCGGACTGCGCCTGTGTCCTCAGGAGCCGGGAAGCTCTGGACAGCGACCTGTGCACTCCGGACGACGAGAGAGACAGTGAGAGCGTGTTTTGGGGTATTTGGTTCTCTTTTGTTTTATTTATTGGTTCATTTATTTAATTATTCTATAGGTTATTTATTTTAGTTATTTTATTTTTCTTTCTTTGTTTTTTCCTTATTTTTCTTGATTTTTTTGTATTTGCTTAGAGTTTTTTTTTTCTACTTTTTCTTTTCCCTTTTATTTCTTTGTTTTTTATTTTCCTTTATTGTTTTGTTATTGGCTTTTTTTTCTTTATTTTTTTACTTCCGTTTTTAGTTTTTTGATTTTTATTTTTCTAGTGGTCTCGCCCATTTTCCCTTCTGTTCTTGTTTCGTTATTTGTTCTTTCTTCCCCTTTGTCGTTTCTCTGGGTTTTTATTTTGGTTTGTTTGTTTGTTTTTTCAGGTTTTAGTTTCTAATTGTTGTTCGTTCTGTTGTTTGTTCTATTGGTCTTTGTTGTTCTGTTTTATTCTTAAATTTAGTGGTTGGTTTTTAATTAGTTTGTTTTTAATCATATTTTTACGTTTACATCTCATTTGTCATTTTTTGTTTGTGTGGTTTCATTTATTTGTGTTGTAGTTAGTATTGCTAGTAAGCTGAGTGAGGTTAGTATTGCTGGTTGAGTTAAGTTAGCATTGTCAGTGTTTAGTGAGGTTTAGTGAATACTTGAGTACTATTAGTACTAGTACATTTGTTAATATCGTAGGAGAGTCAGTTGTCAGCGGAGACTGTAGTGCAAGGGCTGTGAGCACAGTCAGGGCTGCTTAGTGTAGTCTGCATAGTCCAAGTGCACAGGCACTATGTGCAATCGCCTCACTCCCCAGGGACATAAAGCAAAAAGCTACCAGGCATTTCAGGCGCTGGGGCGGGACACCCACACCAAGGTTATGCTGGCGCTGCACGAGCTCACGGGCACGAAGGTGCTCATCAGGGGCGTCCGGAAGTCTGAGCTGCCTGACCTCCGCCTCCTGGCCCGCTATATGCGGTGCATGAAGGCCCTTTATCACCCGAATATCGTGGAGCTCTTCCAGGTGGTGGACACGAGGCAGGAGCTGCAGCTCGTCATGGAGTACGTGCAGGGGGAAAGACCTGCAGGACTTCCTGAGCGAGTGTGGGCGCTTGGAGGAGAGCGAGGCCCGCCCGATCTTTCAGCAGATCCTCGCGGCCCTCAGCTACTGCCATGCCAAAGGCATCGCGCACCGGGATGTAAGGCCCCAAGAACGTTGTGCTGACCCGAGAGGGAAAAGTCAAGCTGGCAGACTTCGGGCTCAGCGTCCAGGGCTTCAACCGGGCGCTGAGCACGTGCTGCTGTCACCCAGAACACAGGGTCCCCGAGGTCTACCTTGGCCAGTGGTACAACGACCCCAAGGTGGACGTGTGGAGCCTGGGCATCATGCCCTACCAAATGGTGACCGGCACACTGCCCTTCAGGGGGCCCAGCCTCAGGGCTATCAGGGAGCGGGTCCTGGGCGGGAACGACCTCCTGACCTCCTACCTCACGGTCCAGGGCGGGGACCTGCTGGCCAAATGATGGCACAGGACCCCTGGAGGCGCCACCCCCTGGAGAGCATCCAGCAGCACGCCTGGGTAGCAAAAATGAGCGAGGGACTCCTGCCCTTCAGCGAGCCGTTGCTCAGCCCCCAGGACCCGGCCATAACCAAAGCTATGGAGCGCCTGGGCTACCAGAGGCAGGAAATTCGGGAGGCCATTGACGCTGACAAGTACGACAAGGTCATGGCCACCTACCTGATCCTCCGCTCCAGGAAGCAGGAGGAGGAGGAGGACTATGAGGAGGAGGGGCAGGAGCGGCCCAGGCGCGTCACATTCCAGGTGCCGAAGTGCGTCACCTTCCGGGAGCCTGGTGACCCGAGGTTTCGGGGAATACCCCAAGCCATTTATCCTGCAAAAGCACCCAGTGCCCACCCACCCCCCTCCCGCAGCCGGAGGTTTTGGGGAATACCTGAAGGCCAGGTATCCTGTGAAAGCCGGAAGTCCGAAAGAGGGGAAAGGATGCCACCCCGGGCAACAGGGTCATCTCCGCCAGGTCACTATGCTGGAGGACGCCCAGAAGCACACCACCGCCGCAGGGCCAGGCCCCCTGCTAGAGGACACCCCAAAGGGCAGACCCTCTGTGCTAGGCCCAGAGCTGGAGGACGCCTGGGGGGACACCAGCACCTCTGTGGCCTGACCCCAGCAGGAGGACACCAGGGAGCACAGCAGTACCGCGGTGTCAGTTCTCCAGCTGGAGGACGCTGGGGAACACGGCAGCACCACTGAGACAGGCCCCCAGCTGGAGAGGGACCAGGAAAGCAGGGCCAACACAATCTGTCCAGCTCCCCAGCCCTCCAGTACCACCCTAAGACCTCCCCCAAGACGTGGCTGGCTTAGCAGTGCAGTGACCCTTCAGCAATCATCAGGGCCAGAGATAGAGTATTAGAAATTATCCTGGAATTTTGTTGCTGCTGTGCAGCATTGGAACTGGAGAGCAACAAAGATTAAAAATAGCGCCATACCTGGCAGAAGACCCCCACCCCCAAAGCACAACCACTCAGTGCCCATGGGGAACAGGAGTACAGCAGGGAAGGTTGAGGCTCTGGAGAGGCTCAGGGGCTGGGCCCAGTCACAGGGGCCAGGAGCAGCATGAGACTCACAGGACTGCAGCACCGAAGTCTGGGCAGCACAGATGTCCCTGGAGCACAGATGTCCTTGGAGCAGAGCAGGTGAAGGGCCAGCGGGCAACGAAACTGGTGAAGCACCTGGAAGGGAGCAGAGCGGTTGAGGGGTGGGGTGTGGAGGGGTTGGGGAGAGCTGAGCAGGTACAGGGCCAGGAGAGGGGTGTGGGGCTATGTGGGCAGAGCCTCTAGAGGCACCAGGGCCAGAGGCGGGGAAACCTGGACCTCTCTCCCAATCTTAGGTTCTGCCCCTTGGTGGGAGAGACCTGCTGCTCACCCCTGGGCACACGGATGGTGCAGAGGATGCAGGAGCTCTTGCAAAGGCTTGGTCTCAGGTGGTAAAATGTGCAGATTGCAAGGAGCAGATAGAGAGGCTGTCTAGCTCCCCTTAAGAATGACTTGGGGACCTGTATATTAGAATCCAAACGGGACTCTCCAAGGTGGGCAGAGGTTATTTACAGAGCAGCCCTACTCCACCGTGACCTGCTCAGCTGGAAAATCCGCACATCTTCCTGCTCCAGGAAGCCCTAGGCTATGATCAATCTCAGTCCCGCAGCGAGCACACCTAGGTGTCCAGTGTCCCCTGGGCCGAAGCTGCAGCTCGTCATGGAGTACGTGCAGGAGGGATTTTGCAGCTTGGGATTCTTACAGTGTCAGTCCAGCTGGAATTTCTCCTTTTAAAAATCCTCTCCAGACGGCCACCCACCCTTCCTCCTCCCTGGATTCAAACCCTGCAGGGTGACCTTAGCCAAATTGGAAACGTTAATACATCGCCCAACGGATGCAGGCTTTGGACACCAGTCTCTGCTAATTAAATCACTGGGGACAGGAAGGAAAAGCTACAGGGGCTATCTACCTTAAATTTGTGTTTTTTCATCATTGCTTAGATGGTGTTCAATTCCCTTCTAAAACTAAGGTTTGCTAAGTCTGGTAAATGCAAGTGAGGTGAGGTATGTGTGTTTGAAAAAAGAAATGTATGGAAGAGGGATATTCTGAAGGGCCTTAAGATAATGTAAAGCCAGATGGGTAAAATGAAATGGCATTAGAATGAAAGCAAGCAAAAGAAAGTGTTGAAGGTCGGAGAGAGAGATTTTGGTGAGAAATCGTGTGTACTCAGGTGTCTCCCCCTCCTCCAACACATTCATGGGCTTGCTCATCTGACCAGCAAAGTCCCCTCTGATTGACACTTTGTCAGCCGAAGCTGGGGCCAGGACATCCAAACGTGGACCAACTCTCCCTTACTGCCATGGATCCTTCCCATAGTAGGCCCAGTGATCATGATGATGCTTTTCTTTGTTTCTACACCTCGTTTTCTCTGCTTTATGCAGACAAAGCTGTCTGAGATGAGCCTTCGCACTCCCAGACCCAGGAAAGCCATTCCTGTTACTGACAGATGAGCAAAAGGGTGTTGCTCCAGGGGTTCTGGGCCAACCTAGGCCAGTTCAGAGAGCAGTTGCTTATTTCTCTAAACAAATGGATCCCATTGTAAGAGGATGGCAGCCCTGCCTGCGTGCACTTGTGGCAGCTGCTCGTCTTGCTAGACAGGCCTTAAAACCCACACTGGGCCAACCTGTAAATGTTAGTTCTCCACATCGGCTCCAGGACCTGCTCACTCATCAGGCTCTCTCCCCTCCATCACCCTCTTGTCTGTTAGATTCTACTCTCTTTGTCAAAGACCCTCTTATCTCATATCCCTCTCCCAATCCTCGACTCTCCATCCTGCTAGGCCTCATGGGTGTTCCACTCCCTAATGCAGATAACACCCTCTTCTTACTATGGTGGACACCATCACCAGTCGGACAATGGACCTGCCTTTATCTCAAAGGTTACTCCACAGGTCTCCTCCCTGGGCATCACCTGGAAACTACACATTCCCTCCCGACCGCAATCCTCTGCTAAGGTAGAACGGGTGAATGGTCTTACCAGAGACCACCTAACCAAACTCTCCACTGAGCTGCGGAAATCCTGCGTGGAGCTGCTCCCACTGGCTTTAGTGAACCTCCGAGCCACTCCCTATGGCCCCTTGTTCATGACCCCCCTTGAATGGATGTATGGCAGACCTCCTCTTAGTAACCAGACCGTTGTCTGCCACAACCTGTGCTTCCGTCCTCTGATGCACCTGTCAACCTGCTGTGCCGTGGAGACCAGGTTCTTCTGAAAGCCATCTCTCCAAAACCACTTCCACCAAAGTGGATGGGTCCACACACGATCATCCTGACTACACCAACAGCTGTCAACGTCTTGAGCAACACGTCCTGGCATCAGCTGTCCAGGGTCAAACCGGTCCCTGTGGACAAGCAGTATGTATGCGAGCACATGGGCCCAACTCGGGTACGCATTAATGTGTCCCTGGTCCACATCCCAC